AACAATCTCAACTCCATTTGTGAGAAAGTGGATGATGATGAATTCCAGAAAATCATTCTGAAGAAACTCAACCAGGTAAGTTGCGTGTATGGAATATGGGGTTGCCTGGAATGGTACTGGCTGCTTAGTATGAGGCATATAGCACTTTAGATAAAAGAGATAAAAGAATGCAAAACAGAGTATAAAAATTGAAGACATTCAAATAGGGCTGTGACATAAACAAGGACCTCACTGGTTAATGAAACTTATGGGAATATCCAGGGATTTTGAGAGATGTCCTGATGAGGAGCGTTACAGGAATATATCAGAATATGTTTTGTGATTTTAGACATCGCTAAACAATTCAAGAAGTTATCATTATACAGCAGTCATCATGTCATGTGACACTAGCAATGTGATCATGAAGGAGGATATATTTCGATACAGTAGCATATGTTACTCCACACTCTATTCTTCCAGGCGTTCCCATCCGGTGTTTCTGATAATGTAGTCCAAGTGCTCGGTTCAGTGTCGCGTGTGGCATCACTTGAGGACATCTCCAAGTGGAACATCACAACAGCTGACACCCTGGCAGCACTCATGAAAGCTGATGATGGATCATGGGAGGCAGCAAAGGTACAATGTGAAGGGATTCTCAAAACTACACAGCCTTATATTTAGATCCTCCTACCTATATACATTTGCTCACTCAAGGTGTTTTCTTTAATGTTATCTAGAGCAAAGCAATCATCTCCAAGTATCTGAATACATCTGGGAACACCCTGGGCAGCACTGAGCTCAACAGCATCGACTCCAACCTGTGCTCATTAAATACCAGCACACTGAAGACCGTCAGCCCAGACAGTATCAGGTGGGTTGTCAGCATATAGCTCAAAGATGCCTAAGCATGGCCACTGTGAGTGATGACTTAGACTTAACACTATCTCTAACTTACTTTCTTCTTGCATCTTGTCAGAAATTCAAACCCTCTGAATGTGGCGTCATGTTCGTCTGAGCAGAAGAGAGTCCTGTATGAGATCAGTAACACCTCCTTCAGCTCACAGCGTGCCAGTCCCACCACCTTTTACAATTTGATTAAGACCTATATAGGTAAGAGTGCATGCTGCATGTGTCTCTGGCTGTTTCTCTGTCTCTCTGATAAATTCATCTCAAATATCCTATTTTCTTTTCTGCCATTACAGGTGGAGCCCCTCTGTCAGATGTAAAAGCACTGTCAACTCAGAACATTAACATGGATGTAGGCACTTTCCGAAGCCTGGACCCTAATGTGATTGCTGTAAGGATGCTTATTAAAGAGTTGATTACAGACATATATGTAGACATATACTGTCTATTTGTTTTATTGTAAATAAAGATAAGACTTCTGAATCTAAAAATTAATTTGATAGTTCAACATATGCATTTGCTTTCTTGCTGGGAGTTAAATATAAGGCTACAGCCAGCAGCTAGTTAGCATAGCTTGGCATTAAGACTGGAAGCAGAGGGAAAGAGCTAGCCTGGTTCTTTCCAAAGGTAATAAAATCTGCCCACCATGACCTCTAAAGATCACTAGTCAACACGTTATATATTGATTGTTTAATCTGTATAAAAACTGTATAACTATAGTAAAAGTGTAATAAAAATGGCAATTTGTTGTTTTACAAGGTGCTATACTGTATGGCTGTAGCATTATATCTAACACGTGATAGAATATGAGGTTGGTTTACTTTTTTTACTTTTACTTATCTTGGCTTCTATAGTGAGGTCTTTGAAATTACCACAAGCGATAGAAGATGGTTTATACTAGTAACTCTAAATAAGGTTTGTGAGTCTCTGTAATTTGTCTTCTTGCTAAATGTGTGATGCTCTTCATTGTGAGTATTTTTCCTCTGGGCCCAGTATGAGAAGAGAAGGCCCAAAGCTGTCAGCTGCAGGGGTTACATGTAATAACCCTTTCTAAATACTGGATTTTGAAAATATTATCAATGCTTGACACCAAAAGTTTCTCTTAGAAAAGACATGAATAAGCTCTTGTTTACATCTATGATATTTTCGGTGTTGCTCATTGTCCACTGTTTAAAGACTTAAGACCAACTCACATCACTGTTTCATTTGAAATGCACAGGACTTGACTGTGACCGATGTCCAAGGCCTCATGGGTAGCCAACTGCAAGATCTGAAGGTGTTTGAAAACGACCCCGTGATTCAGAGCTGGGTGAGCAGGCAGGTGCAGTCAGACCTGGACAGGCTGGGTTTGAACTTAACCACCAACAGAAGCAACCTGACCACTTCACCACCCAGCTTTACCAGCAACACAAATGCTATTACATCAGCATCTACAACAGCATCACCCAGCTCCACCAGCAAAACAAATGGTACTACATCAACATCTGGAACAGCATCACCCAGCCCCCCCAGCAACACAAATGCTATTACATCAGCATCTACAACAGCATCTCCCAGTTTCACCAGCAAAACAAATGGTACTACATCAACATCTGGAACAGCATCACCCAGCCCCCCCAGCAACACAAATGCTATTACATCAGCATCTACAACAGCATCTCCCAGTTTCACCAGCAAAACAAATGGTACTACATCAACATCTGGAACAGCATCACCCAGCCCCCCCAGCAACACAAATGCTATTACATCAGCATCTACAACAGCATCTCCCAGTTTCACCAGCAAAACAAATGGTACTACATCAACATCTGGAACAGCATCACCCAGCCCCCCCAGCAACACAAATGCTATTACATCAGCATCTACAACAGCATCTCCCAGTTTCACCAGCAAAACAAATGGTACTACATCAACATCTGGAACAGCATCACCCAGCCCCCCCAGCAACACAAATGCTATTACATCAGCATCTACAACAGCATCTCCCAGTTTCACCAGCAAAACAAATGGTACTACATCAACATCTGGAACAGCATCACCCAGCCCCCCCAGCAACACAAATGCTATTACATCAGCATCTACAACAGCATCTCCCAGTTTCACCAGCAAAACAAATGGTACTACATCAACATCTGGAACAGCATCACCCAGCCCCCCCAGCAACACAAATGCTATTACATCAACATCTGCAGCGGCATCACCCAGTTCCACCAGCAAAACAAATGCTACTACATCAGTATCGGCATCAGCCAGCACTGTGACAGCAACACAGGGTAAATATGCATTTCTTATTAAGTGAATGTAGGCTTCGTGCTTTCACAGTATTGCTAGTAGTAGAAAGCTACTTACATTATATCGAGTAAGAAAATTAGATGTGGCAGATGTACAGCTGATATGCAATTAATTATTATAAACTGTTGTTTCACCTAAAACTATGGAGAAAAAAAGATTTTTCCACTATGCCCTATAAAGTTGGGCCAGATGTGCTTCAAATACAAAGCATGGTGAAAAAACATATTTATAGACTCTTTATCAATAAATAGCATAATAATGACCTGCAGCCCCACTCGCTAGCACATCAAACAGTAAATACCTCAGTTTGAGGAGTGTTAGTGTGCTTGCTTGTGGAGTGTCCTCAGGTTGCACCATGGTTTTCAGCCACAAGAGGACGCAAGTGCACCACAGCCTGTGTTTGTGAACATTTCAGAGTATTCATGACAATGTCATTATTATACACCTTGCATTTATTTAGCACGGCCACCATAACTTGCCAATAAACCAAAAAATTGGGTGTTTGTTAATTCACCATTTTAATTCACATTCAGTGAATGATATGCAGCAAAGTGGTTTGATACCAGATGAAGCAACTCTGCCTGGTATTCTCTCATATCACAGTGCACCATCTAACTAGATTCAATCTCATCCACAGGAAACACAAGCGGCTCAGATGCAACCCTGACCACTACCGTAACAACAACAGACAGTGAGCAGCTACAACTTGCTTTTAATTTATAGTATCACTTTACCCAGTCTATACTTATTTTATGTGGTAATCCTTAAACTGGCATTTTATTTGTTTAATCTTACACAGGGTGCTACAAATATAAAGTTTGATCTGTTTTTCAACCATGAGAATAATGACAAGAGCTTTTAAGAAAATAATACAATTTAGCTTCAGTGATAAATGTCATTCCAGTCTAATTATATGTTTTTTGCTTCTTCTAGCTTCAACCACAAGTGGGGGAACAGAGCTTGCAAAATACTCAACATCCATATTCCTGGCTGCTTTGTTGACAACTGTGCTGCAAATACAACAACTAACCTAAATACAAGTGTTACTTTAGCATCCAAATCAATAATCAGTAATTAATCAATGATTTCTTCAGTAATGTTCACATTTTGAGTATGATTCATTAATGTTATTGCCAATATTATTTATTCACGCCTTAAGAAAATTGCTTAATTGCAACTGCTTCATTTATGCTTCATTCTTTCTGTTCATACTGTAAAACTAAGTCACTGAACAATCACTGGAATCAAAAATCTATTAATATTTTAAGTGGTGGTCTGGATTTTACTCTACATGATTTTTGCAAGTAAGTACTAACATTAATGTTCAATCATTATTTAAACTGCTCAAATTTACTCAATTATCTATTATAATTTAAACTGTTCTGTTATTCCTTAAATTAATAAATACATACTGATAAATATCTCATGCTTGTGTTTCTGTCTCTTGGAGCAGATTATAAAGAAATTCAACACTTCATAATTTTTATTGATTTTACCACTTCTCTCTTGAATACCCTTCAAAGTATATATTGAATATCATTAACATTGTCTTCCTTCCTAAGTTTAGACTCAAAATAAGATTATACAGATCAAAAGGCAGTATGTTCTCTCAGAAGTTTGTGTTTTAATCCTAACTTGTATCACAAGGATATACCCATCTCTAATGCCATGACTTGTGTGTATGCCATGTTAAATAAGTCTATCTCACAAGGAAAATGCCTTGCCACATTTCAAGATATCTGCAAGGCATTTATAAGGGATGAAAGAAATATTGATTTATGCCAACTGTTTGGATAATGTCTTTATTTTGTTAAGTACAAAGTGATTAAAAAAATCCATCCCCACCTAAAACAGAAAATGTATGAACCCGCTTCAAATGTAAAATATCCCATCTGAGAGACTGGCTAATAAGCTTAACAATACTAAGAATCTACAGCCACGCTATTAGCATAATGAGGCTACGCAAATGTCAATGTCAGCATGCTTACATGTCCACCTTTAATGCTAACATACTTAAATTTGATATTTGGCAGATGACCTGCAGCTGAGAAAATATTGGACAGAGTAAAATTTTTACTTGCTGATGGCACTAGATGAAAAGTAAAGGGATTCCAAAAGGGATTACTACTCATCCTGAGGGAGGCGTGAATGTCTGTACCAAACTCCATGGCAACCAGTCCAATAGTTTTCAAGAAATTATACTGAAAACCATCATAGGTTGGAGGATCACCAAAGTCAGTGGGGTTCATCCCCTGGGCACCAGCGATATAGGCTGTGTACCCAATTCTATGGCAAAAAAATTATGTTATTCCCATCTCACAGTAAAACAGAAAACATAGTAACCCACTTAGTACCCAATCAGAGAGACAATACTATGTCTGCTACACTGTGTGTCTATCCCATTGGTCCACTCTATTTTGCACTAGAATGAAGTAAATGCACCATAGTTCCAAACCATGTAATAGCTAAATTGCAGAATAGCATATTTTTATTTATTTTTATTTTTATTTTTTTCACATCTGTTGCTGCACTTCCAAATGAATCCTGCAGCTCATCTTCTCTGTCAGGTTAAGTGTACATCGAAAGGTACAGCCACTGTAAATAAAGACATAGATTATTCATGTGCTTCAGCCTACCTAAAACCATTATCATTTCATCACAGAAAACTGGAACTGTAGAGGAATGATATCTGCAACATTGCCGATAAGATATTTCCAGGTAACAGCTGTGCAGGTTATGAAAGGTTAAAACCAAATTTCAAGAAATGTTCACAACTCTAAAGAACTTTTATTACCTCAGATTCGCGAAGAGTCATGTTCAATCCGTCAGACAACTGGCTGAAGATTTCTATTGAGAAAGACGCACATCCTTGGTTCACATATCATTCTCATCAGCATGACTACTTTAGCTTTGCCTGTTGCCTCATACTGCATGTGAAGTAATGGTGTACTGTCAGCTGAATGCAATGGACACACTGTAAGTTTTACCATAGCACACCCAGTAGCAGAGCAGCTTTGCCTTGCAAACACACTATACTTATCAAAAATTCCACAAATGGTACTAAGTTAAGGGACTTAGAGGTACAAGAATTACTGGGGTGGAGAGGGACACTGATCCTTATGTTTCACTTTATAAAAAAAGAAGACCGTCCCCAGCATCATTAATGTTGCATCTCCCCTTGACCTAGAAAACTGCGAACCAGTATGTCAAAATAATGTCAGTGTTAAATTGGTATAAATATTTTAATCGTGTACCACACTTTAAGCCTTAGTAGCTTAATGGAACCTCTAATGTGCACCACTAATGCACATATTAATAAAAACCTGAAAAATACAAATTCAGGATAAGGAAATTACAGTGTCCTCGCCCTTCTCTCAGCCCCAAAAGTACAGCTGACACTGATGAGACAAGTATTCAGGTATTTTGTCATAAACCAAAATAATGGACAAACTGAAATTTCACTTCATTGAAAATTATAAACATGAGTCTCATGGTGGCGCTAGAGAAAGCATCAGTGGACAGACACTGTTTGCATGTTTTGTCCATGGAATAACTGAATGAATGAATGAATGAGTAACAGCTATTGTCTGGATCCATGTGTTTTTCATCTCAAACATTTTTTTTACTCATTGATGTAGCAAAATTATCAAACCGACAGCTGCAGATCCACTCTCTTCTTCTCCCTCCTCTTTATCCAGATCCACTTTTAGTTTAGGTCTATGTTTAACATAAAGTCATTCCACTATTAGTCAACTGCTTGTTCTACCTAAGTGCTTTTGATTTCCTTCACTGATGTGACTATGTCTCTTTTGCAGATAACCCTGCCTAAATGTGGAGAAAAGTTGTCTTAACTATAGGACCGTTGCAGAGATTCAAACTGTTGACTATTCTTTATAGCTTTTGCATTTACTGTCATAGAAACATGTTATTCTGCAGGTTTTACACTCTAAAATGTTTGAAATGAGTATTGCACTCCAAGGAGGAGTAAAAACTGTTGTGAGCATCACTCACACAAAAACAAAATGAAGTATAAAACAGACATTTCAGTTAAGTGTTGTTTGCTATGACAGTAGAGAGTAGAGTGCAGATTTACTTACGGTTCATACAGTCAAAGCGCAGGATTAGACTGATGAAGCTCTCCAGTGTTATGTGTCCAGAGGAGGCACCATAGCGCAGAGCCATCAGATTCAGCATGTCATCGTTGATCCTCTTTCCTGACCAACACACATTTAGGACAAGAGTTCAGGCAACATCTTATTTTAGCAACTATTGTTTTTGTCATTGATTCACCTACAGATTATTGTTTTATTTCTCTAAGCCATGACACTGTCACACTGTCGTAGCTCTATGGGACTCTTGAATAAAACAGAGCCATTGTTAATGTTATAACCAACACCTGTGCTATGGCAATTCCAAATGTCTGCTGTGAAAGATGCTTAATGCGCTTTGACTGTCCATGTTTGCATGTATTATAATAATGCAAAATACAAATTGGCTCTGGTTAAGTGCTAAATTGTTCATCATTGTGTCCCTCATCTGTTTAAATCAGTTTGTGATGAACAAAAGCAGATGATGACATTACGTAATCGAAATACAGATGACAGACAAGTCATCAATTTTTTAATTGAAAGGTTTGGAGTAGAGCTAGTAAACTCATGCCAAACTATATGAAAACATTAACATGGACATAACATTAAGATAGTTCCTGCTACATGCTTAATCATGTGTTCCACGGCAAGGGAAAATTTGCATACATCAATAACACCTGATGCATTTCATTCTTTATCGTCAAGATTAAAACCCTTCGTGTGCATAAAAGCAGTCTATGTGTAAAATTTATAAACACACTGTCACTGCTGTGATACACCACCCTTGTATACTTGTAGAAACCCTACTTGTTCTTCACATGGGAAATAAATATTTCTAGGTTGAAACATCCCAGCCTGTTCTTGTTCAGACATAGAACCTATTATGTTTTTTGTGGTTTGTGTGGTTGCTGGCCACCAGCCACAGCTGTTTCTTCCTTGTTAAATGTTTTCATTTATGTAACCTCTTCTTGAGGTATTAGTTGAGGTAATATTAGGATTCAATGCATCTATGAATATCATAATACAATATGCACATTTTTATTTTAGTCTAGGTTCCTGACCTTTTTAGCCCTTACAATAAAGTTTACTTGGGGCCTCTCATCACATTTCAGGTGGCTGTGGGTTGTAGCAGTTCCACCAAAGAGATTTCCCCTCTAGAGTTGAGAAAAGTCTAAAAACATGAATACAGATTTCCATGGCAGAACTTTGTTCTTCTTCTTTCCCACTCTATTAACCATTGCATGACCCCACAAATTTATATTATACTTCACTTATGTAGGAGTTTCAATACACAACTTATACTTCATCCACAGCTGGTGTGTACTATTTATGGGGCACCTGGATAACTTCCAGGATGGTTCAATTACATGTGTCCTTAGCAGATGAAAAGATCTGGTTCATTGTCTACCTGAGGCCATGATTGCATTCCTGAGCTCACTCAGTGACAGTGTTCCTGTCTTTGAAACATCAGTGAGGAAGAAAATGTCCTGGGTGAAGAGAAGACATTTAGTTATGTGAAACTCAAGACAGTGAGAACACACAAACCATGATCAGTAAATCATTCTGATCTGATGTTTTATTATGAAACATGTTTCATCTTTCACTTGGTTCCTTTTACCTTGTATGAGGCAACCTTCTTCCACAGACGCAGAAATTCCTCACCATTCAGTTTGCCAGTGATAGATGTCTTTAACATTCCATTAAGGTATTACATCAGCACATGCTGTTTCATGTCTTGGACTGACCTTTAAATGTATTCTTGGCTGTTACATTAACAAAAGGGCAGGCAGGGTTTGGCATGTGAACCGGTGGCGTGCAGGGACAAGATAGGCAAGTAGATCCAAAAAAACAGCTTCACTCCCAACTACCTAACCCGAGTGAAGGGCAGCTTGACAAACACACCTGTCTATCACTAGTATATAGCTGTATCATCCTATCAACCTAGCTTGCAGAGACAATGGCCTTGCTTGTCCTGACAGCATGTCGCTGATATACGCTACTTATGTGTTTTATATCACTAACTAAATTAACCATAAGCTAATTTGCCGATACAGAGAAAAAGGGAGAAAAGAAACTTTTTTTACTTCACAACGTATATCACTTAAGAGGATACATCCATCAGAGCAACCATGCTGCGACAGGCGTCAATGCTGAAGCCTCCAGATTTCAAGTCTCCTAAACAAAAAATAGAAAAAATAGAATGACACTCAATTTGGCCAAACCCAGAAACACAGCAGTGCCACAAAAGATAACTATGTTTGAATATTTTTGTAAGTAGATTTTTACAGTCCAAACCTTTCAGGATTCTGTCATTTAGAATCGTCTGTAGCAGCTCAGCATCCACTTCTTCATACTGGAAATGAAATGGAAACAATGAAAGACTTGTATTTGGCTCTCATGATGGTTACCATTCATGGTTAACTTCATATCGAGGGGGAATAATAACATGCCATATTTTATATATGTTGTTAGAAGCATGTTTCTATGACAACATTCTGGAATCTAGTCAACGCTGGTGGAGACTGCAGTTGAGTGCTACTGCACCTTGGAGAGTGTTATAGATCTTTTCATCTAACTCTCAGCTAGAAAATATATGATCATATTTCCCAAAATGTTAAGCTATTGCTTTAAGACACACCTTGTCAGAGTACTGACGGAAGAAGGTTCTCTTATTTTCGTCATCTTCTTTATTTTCGATTGGTGAGTGCTGCAGGAGAGTGGCATACACTATCAGTGAAATCAGTATAATAAACAACATGGAACATAACAGCAATACCAAAATAATGTCTACAATATATATTAAAATCTTGCATACCTCTTCTGCATGGTTGTGGTCATGGCCACCAGAATTCTCACTGAGAGGAAAGACAAGAGACATCAGTACATCTAGCAAATATGTTACAGTAACTTGTGATTACATAACAGTTGCTTATCCCAGTAAAACACACACATTTGGAACATTGGAGGGTATTAGTTTGGTCTCTGTGTTCACTGTGTACAGACTAGTCCAAGACCTGCTAATGTTGGCTTTTCACAGGGCATGAAGGTACAGGAAGGCTGTTAGTCTTTACCAAAACAGGAGAAATGCAACTCCCTGTAATTCCAGTTACAGTTGTCTTATGTACATGTGTGCTTGCTAACTTTGGCCATTAGTTATAGTAGTTATGTAGTTTAGTTAAGAATCGTTAAGATTGTTGCACTGAGGCTACAATAGTTCAGATGGTAAGTAAATCCCTCCAAATTCTAGGACTGCTTGTGAAACAACAATTAGTCTCTCAAAATGAAAGAATGGATGTGTGGGTGTAGAAGCTTTGGAGTTGTTTAAAGGCACCTTTGATGAAGCTGTGCTGGGTACCAAAAGTAACAATTTGTGATGAGTTGATTACAGTTTTCAACCCCAACATTGCTTGTGGCATTACTGCATTTTTTTCAAGGCTTGTAGTACATGGTTTGTGACATCTAGATTAACTATAACCTTCATCTACAAAATGTTAAAGCTAATAAGTGATTTGTGAATGACTTACTGGACATGGGTCTCTGCCTTGGACAGGATGGTCAGGATGAAGGAGGCTGTCTCATTGGGACTGAAGGTGGACGGCACAATCAGGTATTCACCAGGCTTTAACATCAGTAACAGCATCACCTCACGTGAATTCGTGTAGGTTTTAGTTTGGGCCACAGGTCTGTTTCTGGTGAAGAAAGAGGCTGGGAACTTCCCTCTCTCACCCTTGTACTGCAATGACAGTGATAAGGAGATGTGTTATTTCAATGCAGCTTATCTCAATCTCCAATATAGGTCAACGATATGTACATGGGCTAAAAAAGTTACTTACCTCATCAGTCACCTTGGATGAAATCAGAGGAAAATTAGTTTATGTTGGAGACAAAACAAAACAATTAGTACAAGTGAAATCATGACATTATGAAAAGATTAAATGCAAAGGTTTATTTACCAAAATTCAAGTACAAATATGTGTGTACATTCAACATGCTGACACATCATTTGCATTTTTGTTTTCATTTAATTTGAGTAATATTTACAATAGTCCTCCAATGTGTGACAGAAACAAAAAAGTTGAAGGATAAAGAGCAATATGTACCTCAAATATCGAGAATCCAATGTGGAGATTTTTGACCAGGCGTCTGTTCCTCTTGTCAGGCTTTTGCATGAGAGACACCAGCATATTGTCTGAACCCTGTGTCTCAGAACATTCATTGAGTAACTTGTCAATCTTGACCCGATACTGTGGATTAGTCCAGAAGCTCGCTGGAGGACAAAAAGGCAAACAATTTTGCATCATACCATTTTGCCAAGAGTAGGCTAATTCAGCTGATTAATTTAAGAAGGTAAAAACAAATTTGTCTACTTGTCTAGTAACCGTAAACTGAAAAACAGAACAGACTTATCAAACAAACATCACGTTAATGCTCTTAATCTCAGTGTTGGATGCACCGTAAATACTTAATATATACCAAGGCCAGAGAAGTCGGATTGTCTTGAAATGCAATCTAATTGTTGGTTTTATTTTTTCAATGAGATTTGTTGTAATAAAGGAATATAGAATATAGCTATAACCTGTACTTGAGACATCAGTAACATGGGCACTCATTTGATCTGTATTGAGGCTGTAAGAAATGAACAATGTGAAATTCTTTCCGAATTCTGCTCTCTCTAAAATGGCATGTTTGCCTTGTTTAGATAGTAAAGACCAGAGGTTTTCAAACTGTGATATGCAGAGACAGGTTTGCATAAATTCTGATATTCTGAAAGTACCAGGGTTATTCATGCATCCTCCAGCAGTGGTTCCTGCAACCCATCTGCCCTCATAGAAGGAAGTCTTCCAATGGCAAGATGAGCTTCCATCAAGGAAGTCAGGGCACAGGCAGCAGATATCGAGATCTGAGTAGAATTTACAGAAGTCTTGCAGGGTCATCCTGTATGAGACATTAACTTAGATAAATATTGTTGTTGTCCTGAATGAGATGCTGAAAAGTTTGAAACCATCAGTTTGAGATTCACTTGATCTGTAGAAGAAAAGGATTAATTCCATATCTGTCAGTTGTTGTAAATTGTTCAAATGCAATCTGAGTGAAATGATAATTATAATTATAATTTTATAATTATGTATAGATACTGTTCAGTGAGTGTATGCACATAGTACCTGATACATCTGCCATTTTTAAAAATGAAATTTAGATTTTAAAATGCTTACCAAAACTCCCCATTATCAACCACTGAAAGGCACATCTCGCGTTCTTGAGGACTCACGGTTTGCCACAAAGGTGACCTTCAGGGACAAGTTGTCAAAGAAAGGAAAGAAATATTATTATGAATTGTTCTTATTAACATTGGGAAGATTATGCAAATCAGGCCAATGACGTATGGAAAAGCAATAGAGGTAAATGCACTACACCTCCAGTCCAGTAGGTGATGGTAATAAGAATGCAAAGGCTATACAACGATGACGCCATAAAAGCGAAGGACAGGCTGGCATCATCATTTGTGCGACGCTACAGTTAGCCTGTTAACATGGAGGAGATTCAAGTTGTGCTACTGTTGATCATTGTTGGCCCATCTGTTTCAGGCTTTCTTCTCCATGTCAAACCACAATGAAAAACAACAGACTCGAATCAATACAAAACAGTCAGCTTGTAGCTGCGGGCTTTTAAACATGGCAGGTGAAATAAAATACAGCGAGTACTCGACCAATCAGAAATGTTCAGCACTGCAAACCACACCCTCCAAAGTTCCTGAACCTTTGGAAAGTACTACCCCCTGACCAGGGACTTTTTTGGGGGTCAATCTATTACCCCAGAACAAAATTTAGACCCTGGTTCCTGCGGTCAAAACACATAGTTCCTCAAAAGTTTCCTTGTTCCTGGGGAATGTTCTTACAGTGGAAACGTACCTTAAGACACTGTACTGTTCATTTGGCTAATGTGAAAAGCAATGCCCTTGTACTGTCTGGTATAGACATTTACATTCACTAATATAAAATAAATGAGATTACATTACAACTGTTAAATACCTGTCAAAACTTGCCCCCCTTGTGTTTTACTCTAAACTAGCACATCCAGTTTATAATAGTGCAAAGGTGATTGCTATAACACAACTATAGGGAGGCTTCTTGTGTTCCAAATGTTCTTAATCCCTTTATATATATCTTACAAAATCATAATTCTTTAATATGCCACTGTCTGGATTATCATCAAGAAGATGACACAAATTGACAAAGGATCCTTAATAAATTGCCTATGTGAGAGTGAATGCATCTGCAATGTGCCACATACTCATGGGAAAATAATTATTTTAATATCTTCTGAGGCAACAAATCAAAGCCGGTTCTTCCTGAAACATTCGCTGGATGGGAGTCAGTCTTACTGATCACTCCAGTCTCCATTCCACTCTTTTTGGCCCCAGGGGTTCCACAAACGCACCAGGTTTACGGGTTGCCCTCGGCTCATCATCTAACCAGCAATCATCACCAGAAAAAGAGAATAAGTGTTATTTATATGAAGTACAGAATTCTGTATGTTGCAATGCCTTTAACGCAAATGCAGTTCTTCACCTGTTTCACACCCGTGACAGCATAGGCATGGCCTTGGACCAATCCATTTGGTAGTACAGTGTTGGCAGATGTCTCCTACAAGATAGATATACATATATTTTCTTTGCAACTATTTTCTATGTAAAGATATAGTGCAGTAATGGAGCAGAGAACAAAGTCACAACGTCTCTGTGTGTGTGTTGTAATCTGAGTTTCTTATTTGTTTTGGTATCTGGTCCTGATGTGTGTGCATGTTAGTGTATGCGAGTCCCTCCCAGCTAGACCCTCGCTCCTCCCCACGTTTATACAAACACACTGACCGCCCACATGAGATGACACAGTGCAGTACGCAGTGTTCAGGTGAAAGCAACCTTTCCAGAATTGGGGGCTTCCTCTATGTGTACGTAACTTCATGGCTACATAAGGTTGCATGTCTGTTTTCATTAGTGCCTGGCTGCAGAAGGCATGATAACGTTAGCTAATTTGCTGTTACTGATATTATGGATTTGTTTGGCAAAAGTTGCTATCACTAGCTGGCTTATCGTCAACGCCTGTGCTAATGTGGCTGGGTTGTTTTTTTGTTGGCTCTCATGCACACAGGGTAACTTTATTTAGTTGTGCTCCTCGTTGTGTGTTTAGTGGCTGTTTTCACTGGGGTTTGTAACACCTTGCTGGTCTTTGCCAATAAACCAACTAGATCACATGAACATGTGAAACATTTTGTAAAATGAACGCTTTATAATGTGAAAATTACATAATGACTGAATGTGACAGCTGCATCAAGTGGATGAACAGTTTTCCCATGTCAGTAAATGGCACCCATTCAAAACCTTGACCCCACCCTCTCTTTCTCTCTCGTTATTATAAATGTCAAACATGTCTCTAGACTCTAGCTCTTATTCTTCTCTCTCAACAAAAGCAAAAAGAACCAGCTTTGTGGTTATGTGTGGTATATTCGTGCTTACCCCCTGAGGTGTACCACAACCCATCAGGGACTTGGATAGGCCAGCTCTGCACATCAGCTCCCACAGGCTTGGAGGAGGATCTGACAGCTGGATGCACATGTGGACACCACCAGTGAAGTCCACCAAAGCCTCAGAAGGAGTTCCAGCATTCATGTCTGAGTAGGAACCACACACCCTGAAAGTGGGACAGTGGGTGTGAAATTACTTTCACATACTTTCTGAAAATAATACTAATCCCACTCATTTTATGATTGAGAAACAATGCTCTGTTTTTTCCATACTTGGCATAGGCTTTCTCCAGCAAAGCAGGCCAGAATTCAGTTGGGTCTTTGGAGTGGACGAAGATTAGTCTGCCATTGATTGTCGGTAGCTTGTCATCAATGACGACATCCACCCACCTTCCAAACCTCCAGAACTGAACAGAGGAGAAAGGAGAGGATACGAAGAGGTTTCCAGCAAAATGAGATATGTACCATTTAACAGAACCTACTTTTGAACAATTACTGTTAGCAATGATTGTTGGTTTACCCTGAAATGGAACAGCCCACAGTACTCCTCATCAAAATTTTGCTCTAGAGGAACAACTTGTCCAAGGATGAAATTCTGGAACGTCAGAGCTCCGATAGATGCAAGAAACCAGCAGTTTCCTGAGTGAAAAAAGTGTAATTGAGTTGTCAGAACAGTGTGCTACGCAGGCATGACAGTAAAATTTGTAAGGGCAGGTTTATAGTTTAGCAACAATCAAGACTGCTAACACAGCCAGGAGGAGAACTGTCCCAAGATTACAAATGAGAGTATAGGCTATGTGAACATAGCCGTAACCTGCATTCATTTTCAGACTTAATTTGCTAGCATAGTGTTTTTTTTTAACATTAAGACATGAAAACCTATTCTAGTAGGAAGTATGCACCTGAAAATGAGCTTAACAGCCCCTTTAAATAAAATGAAATTGTTTTCTTTGTGGCCAAGGGGGGCCATCTAGAGAGACACACCATGAGGAATGAAGATGAAATCCTTACATAGAGGAGAGACTAGTAGGTTTTGCATTTTTCTTCCAAAATTTGGAAGTTTGCCATCACTGTTGGACCAACTGATAACAGCACAGCCCACAGTCAGGTTTTAACATGTCTAGGTGTGTTTAAAATTGGACTAAAGTCGCTTGTTTGCGTCTGAAGGTATGGTTAAAGTCATTTATCTTACTGCACAAATTATATATTGCAGCAGTTGTTTTCTGCATTTTGATGAAATATTTCAAATGTAGCAAGATTTACAAGGTGCAAGGTATTTACTATGTGCAGTTTACTGCAGAAATGCTCTCTGCCCTACTTTTGCCTGTTTTCTGCCTGTTGTCTGCATGCTTCTCTTAATGAAAATGTATTATTTTGAATAACGCAATTTCCCTACCAACAATGCCTTGACCAAAGTCAAATCTGGAGACCCCGTCGACAACAAAAGATGGATTGGGAACAATTTTCTGAAACAGAGGAATTGGTGACAACACAAAACTTTTTAAAGGTTTAATATTACAATTGTCAGGAAACAACACAGTAATACACTATGACTATAGCCTGCTTTGTCAAGTTTGTCTTTGAGCCCAGCAGTTTGTCATTAAAAATATATATATTTCTATGTGTTATATTTTTACATTAATACTGAACCAAAAGATTCAGTGACGGTTACGTGAAAGGGTTGCTGCTGACATGGCTCTGCGCAAACTCTTGGAAGCAGCTGCTTGCACGGGAGCTAACACAACACACTAACACTGTACCTCCCTCTCCAGCATTAAGGAGAATTACATAACTAACAAAGTGACAAATTTGAACATTTAGCAAGTCCCAGGAGGCGACGGACTAAACCAGGTCTAAAACAGTAGTTAATAGTGGATTTACATTTGTAAATGTAAATCCACTATTACTGTAATTACAGCTCACTTAGTTGAGCTCTTCGACTTAGTGTTATAAGGGACCCATCTTTTCAGCCACCAAAACACTCACCGATGGTCTCACCCACACAACTCGGGCCAGGTCGCTGGGTGACAGTATCCCTGGGCCAATGGAGTTCCTGTCAGGGGGGAACATCTCATCGATGTACCTTACATTTCGAATCAGACAGTACTGTTTCAGCTGCTGGAAATCTTGGTTGAGGAACTTCTCAGGGTTGGTGACAGTCCCATAACCATCTTTCTTATGACGTGCATTGATGATGTTCATACACACACCTGGGGGAGGCATTGCTGCAGTGGTTGAGATCTGTTCAGAAAAAAATTAAATCCTCAATCCTTGGTCCTCTCCTATTAAACATTCACATACTTCCATTAGACCATATTATACAAAATAATGATATAAACTATCATAATAATTCAGACAACACCCAAATTTACCTTGCTCTGTCACCCAGACTAAATGATTGGATGTTTCTGAACTCCAAATTACAGACTGAGATAATTGTCTTTGGTGCAGAAGAATGAAGGCTTAGAGTTGGCATTCATCTCTACTCTCTATCATGTCGAAACGGGACCTTCCAGCAGGTTAGGTTACTTTTCTCAGGTCTCAGCCAGCCCCACCACCAGCCCCCCGTTCCCACAGTGCACACTAAATATGGAGAGGCAGCATTTAGTCACTGAGAACCACAGAGCTTGAACAAGCCCCCAGAGGTTATTAGATCTGTAACAGGTTTGATCTCCTTTAAATCCAGGTCAAACTTGTATGTTCCTTGACTGAGACCTAAATACTTATGATGAGCTATGTTGCATATTGATCCTATATTTATGTCTCTATTCTTAACTTTTTTTAAACTTTTAATTAACTTTATGCTGTTCTTCTTTTCTTTCTTTTGTTATGTGTTACACTGTGTAAGTCTACCTGTTGTATGCCAAATACATAAAATAAATCTCAAGCTAATGGTCTATGGCTGCTCAGAACACACACTGAAATCATTACAACATAAAACACATGGATTCTTAGTTTCATGACAATCTGCCAACACTAGCAGCAGCAGTATGATAGTGACAGTGGAATTGCTTGTTGTTTTTCCTGATAATGACGCCGTGCCAGACTGTCAAACTTTGGCTGTTATACAGATATTAGCTACACATAAAAGACTGTATTTCCCAGCCATTACATACATGCAACATGCATGTCCAGTAGGAGGTCAAATTTATCTGCTGAGTGTTTCTGCAGGTACAGTAAAATAAAATCAATACCAAGGCTATAATATTCCTCATTTTACTTTCAGTTTCAATTTAATTTTTTTCTCCATGACAAATAACAAAATAACACATTGTAGTAAAAGAGTCCAAGCCACTTACACACTGTGAGGTCAGGTGTCACATAAGATTGCTTGTAAATTGACCCGTTTAAAATGTTACTGGCATATGAAGACCTTAATCTTACCTCACCGGCCACAAAAAGCGTTGACTCTGGGTGCACCAACAAATATGAGTGAAGAAGCTTCAGATCTTTATATAGTGGCTGCAAACGCCTGAGGCCACTTCTGTCAATGTGTGAAGTTCATTTATGAAACTCTGTGAGAGGTTTTACCTGGTGCAGCAGCCCTCTGACTGCAGACAGGCTCAGACAAATAGACCTGCACATACACAGACACACACACACACATACAGAGAGAGAGAGAAGGAGAGAGAGAGAGTGTGTGTACAATAGTCCCATTTGCTTTAATTAAAAGATACTGTATGACAATCTATAGATTCGTGCTGCACTGGCTTGTTCACATGTTCAGGACATAAAACTGTCACAGGAACAATACTGGCTGCTTGCAAAATAAGTCCGCAACTATTTCCTGTGCATGTAATGACATGCAACTATCTCCTCAGGCTGCTGGCTGCCTTAGAGCAGCACAGCCACTTTTTCATGAGACCTGCAAGACCTGAGACCTTGTTAAGTTCTAAACTGTGCAGAAATGAAGATTCATCCATTATTTCTAAATTGATTAATTGTTGGTAATGGGTGTGGTGAATGGAATGTATCCCAGCATGCATCAAGTGGAGCTAGCATACACCCATGCTAACCTTTGACAAGCTGCATGGTTGTCACAGGGCATTTACACACACTAACATTCTCACGCATATTCACACCTAAAGGCAATGTTGCAGTACCAGTTCACTTCACTTCCCCTGCGCGAACACAGGGAGAACATGAAAATATCATATAGTAAGGCACAGGTTATCTAGGATGAGTGCCACTGTCACATGGATGTGCAGCAACAAATGTCTTAAAAGGGTCTGTTGTAGTAAACTACAGAAAAAATAAATAAATTGAATAAATTGTGCTTCCTTAGTTTTCAGCCTCAAAGTTTGCACTGCAGTGTAGGACGCAACCTAAATGAGATACTGGGGCTCTATTTTTGTGAATCTAGGTACAGAGAGCAAAGCATTGTTAAGTTTTTTTTTCTCAGTTTTTTAGTTACTTTTTGTGGTTGCAAGAACAACTCTGGATAATAAAAATATTCTCCTTCTCAAACTGAAATGTAATGGGGAGCTTCCTGCAATCCAGACTGGTATTAAGTATTTACAATTATAGAATTATTGTACAAACCTTTTTGTTTATCAAAAAAAATATTTTGTCTAATGGCAATTTTTGTGAAAAGCATTTTATTGCTGTCTCAGTCCCTAGCAAATCAACAGGCCAAACCAGTTAACATCCTGACATTAACCCATTAGGGCCAGTTTATGCAGTAAGAGTGTGACTGCATGTGTAGTATGACAGAAGGATTCCCAGGTTAGACTTTGAACTGTTTTCAGCCACAAGAGGGCAGACGTTTTTTATGTTCAGAGCAGGTCTGTGAACATTTGAGGGGTAACAACAAACCCTCATGCGAACGTAATGAATTACCTGACCTAACCTGGGTGACATCCCCCACAATAACTACATTTGAATTAGCGTTCAGTCTTTGTTTGCAGCATCTATTTTGAATCTAGTTTGAAAGAGAAACCCCTACACTTCTTGAACATATACGATAGCTGGTTTTTCCATGTAGTTGAGCTTTACACTGTTAAACTACCTACTTGAACAATCTCATTTTAATTATTTAATTGTCAGTCAAATCAAACAGTACAGCTTTGGATAATCTTCAAGGTCTACATGATTAGTGATGTAGACTTTCGGGCATATAAAAGAGAGAGCTTTGTTTGTTTAAGAGTTTCGACCAGAGTAAAAACAAACAGGAAATGTTAATAATTAACTTTTACTATTGATAAGTAATTGAAATTTGCAGGAAGTGTCGTGAGAAAGAAGGATGACATATGATAACATTTTTTCTTTATCATTATTTTTACTGAAAAAAATCTAAAATGGTCCACATGGTAGTTAAAATGAGCTCGTCATGAATTGAAATTTTAAACATGTTTGTATGTTTTCATTTCATAAAGCACAGAGTGATAACATCATGAGTCTACTAATGATACCACAAATGCACAAATAAATGTAGATATGTAAGAAGAGTCTCCAGTCTAACATAAAACTTACAAAGGTAATTTGGTTATATGATCCATTATATATCATAGCATTGGTTATGTTATTTTGTCACATTAGTGTTGGTTGAGGCACATTATATAGTTACACAAAAAAAAATGCCCTTTAGTTACAGTTCATACTGCGTAAAGACTCATTCACAGAGAGATATATATTTTGTTCTTCATGCAATTTGGCAAATGAAAAGAAAACATTCTCTTTCATTCTCGTATAATTCCAGTTGAATTGTGCAGGCAACTGTCCATGTCAGGTTAGGTGTACATTGAAATATACATCCACTGGAAATAAAGAAAGAGACAGGTTACTAATGCTGTGAAAGATAACTTGGAAAACATATAATTATGTTCAGTTGTGTCATTTCTATCTAAGTTTTTTTTTTTCAACAGCTGTGTGTGTCAAAAGTTATAACCATGAGCTACTGACAATGTTTTATTACCTCTGACTCTCGAAGATTCATGGCTTTTCCATCAGACAATTGTGTGAAGATTTCTGTTGAGCAACACAGAATTTGTAAAAAAACAAACTGTCTCACCTAATACTGTAGGAAAACCTCCAATCTTTCCAGTATGAGGATATAGATTTGTACTCATTTGCAAGGCAACAATAGTAGACAGTTAATCGTATTACTTGTATTATCTATTGTCGTCATTTGTCCCACATAACTTGACTTACTGAACATGCAGTCCAAACGAAGGATGAGACTGATGAAACTCTCCAGTGACATGTGGCCAGAGGAGGCACCGTAGCGCAGAGCCATCAGATTCAGCATGTCATCGCTGACCCTCATTCCTGACAAACATACATTACAGGGTAAAAGTTCAGGAGTAGTTTGGGAATTTACTTTATTCCTGTAATATCTTGGCACAATGTCACATACCTTTCACAAACCAAATTAGAGTGAGAATTTGGCCTGTGTTAGCCACAATTAGCCTCAGTTGGCCACAGTTAGCCATAAATGCGTGTCAGCATCAAACACACATGTCTGACCTTGTTTGAATGTATACCAGATTTTTTCTTTTAATAACAGCAAAAATAAATTCGTGAACAACGAAAGAAATATAAATGAATAAATAAAATGTATGAAAAAGAAAAGGTCAAACCTCTAGCTAGTTGATTTTACCAATCAACTGCATTTTGTTTGGTATAAAAATGTTACAGGAAAAATACAAAAAATAGTATTCAAAAAGAGACTTCATAGTAACAATAGTGGGAATGACTTTGTTTTCCTAGCATTTCCCTTTTCAGGCAGCGCTGGCCTGTACCTTGGCTTTGCATTGCTCCAAACAAGCTTCTCCAAAGTATCCTTATTAAAGTTATCAAGCTGAGCTATTTCTAAACTTATTCCCCAAAACTACCCCTTTGGTTGGTTTGTTAGCAGTACTACATGGCATGTTAGGGAGTGATCTTAATTCAGGAAAAAAAAGATGATCAGTAACTTCTTTAAAGAGGCAGCGGAAACAAGTTGTTACCACATTGCTAAAATGTTATTTTAACCTGTTAAGTTGATATAGTGAAGTTGTTAGCAAACAATTGCCTATCTACACATTCAGTAGCTATGGATCAACATTAATGTTCATTCGGAGTTGTGTTTCTGGCCAATGTACGACCAATACTCAATCTTCATTTAGCTCTATTTTTGGTTTCCAAGTTAAATATGTTACTCTTTAGCCACTAAATGTTCCACTATATACCAGCTAATTGCTAATTTTGTCAGTCTACTGTTTGGTGCTGAGCAGGTACTGCTGGCCTTCTGCAACTGAAAACATTGCTATGAGCGCTGTGAACCAAAAATTGCATAAAAGAAAAGAATGAGCTGAAATAGGCTATTAGTCTCTGAATAAAGGGAAACTGTAGAGTCAGGTTTGTCACTAAACTTACATCTATTTTTTTCAGCTGATTTGCAGTTTTTAAATGTTAATGCACTCACCACAGATGACATATTTTTTCAAGGGAAAACGCTGCAAATTCAGTTATTTTGGAATTCAGTAATCACAATAACAACAGCAATAATAATAATAATAATAATAATAATAATAAAAGCGGCTTTTGTTCCATTCAATTAATTTATAATCAAAGGAATGAATGAATCCAAAGCTGGTTTACCTGAAGCCATGAATGCATTCCTTAGTTCACTCAGAGACAGCGTCCCGGTTCGTGAAACATCAGTCTTGAAGAAAATGTCCTTATAAAGAAAGAAAACACCAATAATCTTCCATATCAACTGTATATCTAGATGCACCCTTGTGGTAGAATGAACAGGCTGCTACACAATAATGCATGTTAATATTATTAAAAAAAAAATTATCTTTCTGTCTGACTTGTTTAACTAGGACTCAGATCTATTTACCTTGTATGTGGCGACTTTGTTCCACAGACGAACAAATTCCTCACTGTTGAGTTTGCCCGTGATGGATGTCTTTTTAACTCAGCATTAAGGCAACAAAGCTACACACGTCTTGGCCCAACCTTTCCTTCAAGTAATGTGAGTTAGTTACAATCACTGTGTGTGAAATTTTCTCTAAGTCTTTAAGTAGCTTCAACAGAGGACAATGAAAAAAGTGCAAATCTACTATTTAAATAGTGTACGTTTTACCAAATCATAATAATTTTATATGGATCATTAAAGGATACATCCATCAAAGCAACCATGCTGCGACAGGCATCAATGCTGAAGCCTCCAGATTTCAAGTCGCCTATATCAAACAGAAAACTTAGCATCAGCAACACAGCAATCTCACACAGAACTAAAAAAAGGTTAGTACAATGTATTTTAATGTTCATTGAGCACTTGTGCTGTAGTTTGAGAGTTTTTTATAGCCCAAACCTTTCAGGATTTTTTCATTCAGAAGCCTCTGGAGCTGCTCAGCATCTACCTCCTCATACTAGCAATGAAAGGGAAACAAATAAGATGGATTAAAAAAAAAAACCTTTAATGTCAAGAGAAAACTACACAACACCAGCTGAACATCACACGTTTGACATAATATAGCCTTAAACTTAATATGGCTAACATGTTAGCAAACAGTTGCCTATAGAGCAGCATTAGCATTCATTTGGAGTCTTGTTTCTTTTCATCTGATGAATAGAAATCCAACATTCACTCTACCTATAGCTCTAATATACATGGTAGCACTGAGGGTGATAATCCTCTGTGTGTTTCAAAAAGAGTGACCCCTTACACAGATGTTCATTTTATAAAAGAATTATGAGTGCAGCTTCAAACTGTCGATAAACTGGTAGATGCGGCATATCACGTTTTAATGAAAGGTTCCAAGTATTAATTAAACTCAGTAGTTACAATTATGCAAGTGAGACATGTAAGTGAGAAATTACCTTGTCTGAGTACTGGCGGAAAAAGGTCTTCTTATTTTCATCTTCCTCTGCATTTTTTACCTGCTTGAGCTGGAAATAACAAGTGAAAACAAACATGAGGAAACATTAAGTAATTTTACCCTAAATGAAATGTAAGTGGCAAAACATATTTCACATAATACGAGCAATAAAATATAGTTATATAACACAGTTATATAACACATGTAACACAATATAAAAATAATAAGAACCAACAATATTGTGATATTGTTAAATCTTGCGCACCTCTGGAACTGGCTCCTGATTATAGTAACCAGAGTTCTCACTGTGGGTAAAGACCAAAGACATTCCACATGGGATTAGTGTTTTGTATATTTTTTCTTAATATAAACACCAGTAATGTGTGACATATGCCATGCAGATTATTTTTGGATAATTTTGCACCATTGTGTGTGTGTCATATGTGTTATTTTTTAAGCCAAACAAAGTGTGAGAAGAGAATGTGTGCATACTAGCCATGGGTCTCTGCTTTGGATTGGATGATCAGGAGGAAGGAGGCTGTCTCATTGGCACTGAAAGTGGACGGCACAATCAGGTATTCAGCAGGCTTTAGCAGTAGGAACTCCATCACATCACGAGCATCCAGGTAGGCTTTCGTTTGGGCCACAGGTTGGCGGGTGTTGAAGAAAGTGGCTGGGAACTTCCCCTTCTGTGTCTTGTACTGTAATGATAAACACATATTTCAGCTCTATCTATATCTAAGTTATATCATTTAAAAGAGCTACACTGTGTGGATGGAGAATCTGTATTGTGAATAGTGATTGAGTTAAAATAGTTTCTTACTTGTTCAGTCACCTTGAGGGAAATCAGCGTATGATGAGTTCATGTTGGGGACAAAAGGCAAGTAATTCAATTAATAATTGTCAAATTTTCTACCAAGATATCACTAATAAATGCATATACAGTCGCACAGCAGACTCAGACTTAAGACTTAAACCTGCCCTGCTAGCCAGATGTTGTTTAACCTATAAAGACTTTGGATGGTCATTTACTGTGTTTACTTTCAGTGTTACTGCGACAATCCTTCAGTTCTTTAGAATGTGGTTCCATAAAAAACCTGAGATGTTTGTGGATCTGTCACTATTGATGTTAAAAGCCATTCACTTATTGATTCACTTATCATTTCTAATCTTCTAAAATTCTTACAATTACTCTTATTGACCAAGCCCCATGTGTGAAATCATAAGTGAAACTGCCACTTCATGCCAGGCACAAATTGTGGCCATTCCCTCATGGGTTTGTATACTCATTCATTACTGTTTGAAAGCACAATATCAGCAATGAAGCTGCACCAAAGTTGGAAGTAGGGGAGTTTACCAATTACAGTGAAAATATAACACGTGTATAAGCCAACCTGAATAATATTTGAGACTTGGAAAGTGTGGCATCATCAGTTTTAAAGGTTTTAATGATTATTTGATGTTTTGTTGTTGTTTTGTCATAACCTGTAAGAATTTCAAATCAAATCAATCAAATCATCAAATCAAACCCCATTTATGATAATATATATGGTCTGCATTTTTTCAGCAATCCTGTGTTACGGTTTGAACTTTTATCTTACTGATTTCAGCCTCCATGTTTACTGTTCACCAGTGACCAGGTGTGACTGATTGAATCAACTCTGATATCTTAAAAATTACAAATTTAAATATAGAAGCTTTTTTTTTTGCCTGCTTTTTGTTGAATATATTCAAGTACATTCAACATGAGGGCACAAAATGCTCAAAACCATGGTCTACAGCAGGGTTTCTTTGTTATTTTCACTTGATTTGACAACTGCAGTTACTTCCCATATATATTGTATGCATGTCATATCCACACACTGTGATAGAAAAACAATATAGACCAAAGTTTACTTCAAACACAGAGAATCCAATGTGGACATTCTGGACCAAGCGTCGGTTTCTCTTGTCTGGCTTTTGCATGAGAGACACCAGCATGTTTTTTCCGCCATCTTTTTCTGAATATGGACCATCAATTTTGACACGATACTGTGGATTAGTCCAGAAACTGTCTGGTAGACAAAAAAAGAAACAAAGTTTATTTGTTGTATTAATATAAAGTTGAAAGCAAAGCTAGATGAACATCAATCTCATCAACATGAACTCATTGTAATATTTACTTATTGTGTATATAACATGGAAAGCTGAATGAGTTGAAGTTGTGTATTACATTGCATTGTAGCAGAATTGTTTTTATTGCAACTTTTAACTGTCCTTCTTTGGTTGCATGACGCTAACCAGATGTCCAACCAAGATAAGGTACCAAGTAAAACCATGTTACGGTGACGCCTTGTCTTATCTTATCTCTGCTTTACACTGTGGGGTTTTCCCCTTATGGCTTTCAATTGTATTTAACAAGGAAGAACTCTGTTCCAATGTTTTGTCTTTGAACCTCTGATGATTCAGGAAGTGTTGACTGTTGCTTGTGGTCACCTAATGCCTGCATTTTATGAAATATTTGACTAATTTTACAATGTTAGTGTCGAGGACTGTCATTGCTGCAGCAAATGTGACAACAGTCTTTGAAACATCAACAGGTAATTCGGGAGCACTAGCTTAGCCTGCTTCCAGAACAGCAAAGTAAAAATTAGCTAGCTCAGTGATTGTTTATGAGGAAGAACGATTCATCAACAATGATATTCTATGAAGATATTCTACTCAAATATAAAGCTTCTATATTATCTTAGGTCTTTATTATGTCCAGATATCCCGTAAGTACCTCGGTTATTCATGCATCCTCCAGCAGTGGTTCCTGCAACCCATCTGCCCTCATATGTGGAGGTGTTCCAACGAGAAGAGGAGTTTCCATCAAGGAAGTCTGGACTTGTGCAGCAAATGTCAAGATCTGTGTAGAACTTACAGAAGTCTTCCATGGTCATCCTGTCAAAACAAAAGATTAATTCAGACACACAAATAGTTTTTTTTCTGGATGTGATGCTGGAGATATGAAACCATATGCTTGACAAAGACAGTACAAGATTATCATAAAAGATGAACCTATTGTTCACACGTGCCGTGCATGTCTCCCAGCAGAAATAGACAGAGAAAAGACCTCTTGATGTCATATTCACATCGTACCTGCAACATTACACAAAACTGACACCTTCCACTATAGTTTCTCTGTCTAGGCTGAATCTGAATATGTCAAAGATATGAAAAAATATTTTTTAACCATTTAGCAGCTGCAATTGGAGACAGTAACATTTTGCTGACGTTTTCTGTCAAACTAAGATCAGAAATTAATCTATAATGAAAAGAAATCCAACATTCCAGTAACCTGCAAACTCAATGTAGAGAGATAGAGCTGCAGCAATAGCAACAAAGCAGAGATGCAGCCGGTGTGAACACACATGCGTGCTTCTCCGCAGCAGTTCAGGAACGTCAGCTGCCACGCTCACACAGCAGTAGTCTAGGCCATGGTTATCTCATGCCTTGACTACTGCAATGCTCTTCTAGATGGCCTCCCTTCACACACAGTGAAACCCTTACAGATGGTCCAGAATGCGGCAGGCCCCTCTGGTCTTCAATCAGCCTAAAAGGATTTATGTCACTCCTCTGCTCATTGACCTACAGGCTACCCATGGCAGCCCGAATCAAATTCAAGTAACTAAAGCATGCCCTCAGAAAAAGAAGTTACTTGACAACTAACAGCGCCCTCTCAGAGAGAGTTGTGAATTTGATTTCCCACAATGTACGTTTTGTCTGAAAATGTGCAAACAGCAAAGAATGCCTAAAGTGCTTTACCTTACATCACACTTAAATCATGTATATATTCTCACCACCATACTGACATAATTTAAAATTTAAAATGTGTCTTTCTCTTTTGAATATAGAGACATGTAATATGTTTTATTATCAATGCCTCATAAGTCATAATTTTCTATTTGTTGCCATTGTTAAGCATAGTTGTTAATATCTTATGTTTCAGAGCCACTGATTCGTACTTGTTTCTGGGTGTGCATGATTGGCACAGAGAACATTCTGATGCATAGAGAAGGTTCCCACATCGTTACCTAATTTGCTTACCAAAACTCTCCATCATCATCCACTGAATGGCACGTCTTACGATCATGAGCACTCACGGTTTGCCACAGCAACGACCTTGAAGACAATTTATCATTTAAGTAATAGGAAAGACATTATTTTATTATCAGTAGTTTTCAACCTTAATGTCCCTGAGGTTAAGAACTTGTGCCTCTCACCTTTCTTCTCAACACATATGCAAATCAAGGTCCTTGCAGGTGGTATTTACTGCGATTGAAAAGCCAGTGTTAAGCTGCCTTTAGGGCAAGACTTAACAGTGGATAACTTTACTGTCACTGGTAAAACCAGTTTAAAATAACCAGAGGGAGATTTTCAGAAGACAGCTTAATATGCTTTTCATGGCCCTTATACATATGATCTTTATCCTTTTATGTATTACATACAGGAATGTGCAGTACATATGCCACTGACGAGATAATATTTTGAAAAGAAAAAATGTGTGTTTGTGTGTGTTAGTGACAATGAATACATTTTCACTTATCTTGTCATTTGAAAATAATCTCAATATTTTTGCAACAGCAAAAAAGACCTATAGTATTTCTTTGCAAGACAGTCACTGAGTGAGAGTTGTTCTTACTGATCGCTCCAGTCTCCTTTCCACTCTCCTTTGCCCCATGGGTTCCACAAACGCACCAGGTTTACAAGTTTCCCTTGGCTCATCATCTGACCATCAATCATCACAGAAGAAGGGACCATGATTATGTACCATAAATGTAAAAATGCAACTGCAGTAGGCATAAGGTTAACACAACATTACGATCACTATCAGAGAAATTACATTACATTTACTTCCAGTTCCAAGTGCAACGTTTCAAGTGTAATCCTTTACCTGTTTGACACCTGTGACAGTGTAAGCATGGCCTTGGACCAATCCATTTGGTAGTACAGTGTTGGCGGAGGTCTCCTATAAGCAAAGACATTTATAATTGCTGAGAGTTGACTCATCTATGGTTTTTAAAAAAATTACACATCTCTATTAATACATACACACTCATACACAAAACATAAAAAGTTTGAGTTCTAAAAAACATTTGTCATGACACAAAAATGATATAGACAGAAGAAAGCTGTTAGTAAGTTACTGGAAGGTAGGTTGAGCTACGAGGACGAAGAAAACGGCCAGATCTCTTGAGACTCAGACGAGAATTCACCTTGCACCTTGATCCCTGTGAGGACGTATGAGTAGGGCTCATACCAACCTCTTTCAGACCTATTTCATCATTTTAGCATGCTGTATCTCTTTAATATGTGTCTGGGTTATATTCATAAATATTAGCAAGAAATATTTTACTGCAATTTATTCATTTTCTTCTTTTTTCATCTTTATTCAGAGTCTTAGTATAATATGTAATGCCTAATAAGCAACACTAGACTCGCTGCACTTTCTACACTGGCTGCTTCAAATTGTACTCAGACTAACTAAACGACGAACTAAGTTTATTTAACGGACTTGAGAGATGCTGGTGGGTAGATTTTATTACCTTTGGACAAAGTCAGGCTATCTTTTACCGAATGTTTCCAGTCTTTGTGCGAAGCTAAGCTTACCAGCTGCTGGCTTTGCCTTGATATTTTATGCTAGCTATTGGGGAACGTATAAATGTATTTTTCAAAGCTAAGCAAGAAGAAGTTTGAAGGTTAGTCTTTTAAAATGGGTTGGTTGTGGTATGTTTACAGTTTGTCCACATTTCATTAGGATAAAACTTTATATAAAAGGAATACTGAAAAATATTTGGAGGAAACTTGGATATGCTGACAATTTCTCTTATGCAGCGATCCACTAATCTGATGTTACCATGTCTTTCCATCTATAATCCATTAATTTTAGTGAAACCTGTTTCTTTTTTTTTAAAGTATGTATTTTTTGGGCTTTTTTTATGCCTTTATTTGATAGTACAGTAGAGAGACAGAGAGAGGGGGAATGACATGCAGCAAAGGCCGTCCGATGCGGACCTCGAACCGGGACCAACTGCAGCAAGGACTGTAGCCTCTACACATGGGGCGCCTGCTTAGACCACTACGCCACACGACGCCCCATGAAACCTGTTTCTTTAATAATTTGTGCAGGACAACGTCATCATTTCTCCACATTTCAAGAAACCAGTCTTTCTCTGCCTATTGCCTATTTGGATGCACTGAATCTAAAATATTAACAACTACTTTTTGCCTTCAGAGCAGCTATTCAGTTGAGAAATATATTTTAAACTTGAATCTGTCTTTTTGTCCAAGTTGAAGTTAAGTGTCTTGTTGTACATATAAGTAGGCTACGTGCACTTTGCAAAAAAGATTAAAAAGGAATCTGTGGTGTTTGGTTTGCGTGGTATTTTAGTACTTACCCCCTGAGGTGTACCACAGCCCATCAGTGAGTTAGAGCTACCAGCCCTGTACATCAGCTCCCACAGGTTTTTAGGAGGATCTGACAACTGGATGCACATGTGGACACCACCAGTGAAGTCCATCATAGCCTCTGCAGGAGTTCCAGCACACATGTCGGCATAGGAACCACACACCCTGACAAAAGTAGTGATATTGTTTGATTGTTTGATTATTTGAGAAATAAGGCAAAACTACTTTATGTTTGAGAAAGAATGCATGTTTTTTTTCATACTTGGCATAGGCTTTCTCCAGCAAAGCAGGCCAGAACTCATTTGGGTCCTTGGAGTGGACGAAGATCAGTCTGCCATTGATTGTCGGTAGCTTGTCATCAATGATAACATCCACCCACCTTCCAAACCTCCAGAACTGAAGAGATTATAAATATTAAAGAAAATTAGATCCATTTACTGCCAAATGACTTAAAATGAAAGTAGAACATGAGACTGAATGTTAAAGGATTTAAGTTCTGTATCCATATGTTGTCAGTAATTGTTTTTGTGGGGTGAGAAATCATATTGTTATTCATATTAAATAAAGAATTTCAGTGAATAATTTTCTTGGAAGTGAAAGTTGGTCATTTTGGCTCCGTACTCCAGAGCACTGGATGAAGCAGTGATTGCAAGGTTAAATTGCAGCTTTAAACTGATTCTACAGCATTGGCTACACACAGTGGCATTTTTTTGTTAACACAGTCATATTTACATTCAGTATGGTATGCTATTGTTTGTATCCTTGAGGCCTGACAAAGGTATTTAAAGCACTTGCTTTCCAATAAATTTAGCAAAGCCAATTTTATGAATATTTTGAGGCCTGCACATTTAGTACATGCTAGTAAAGCATTAAATACACACAAAACTATAACTCTGAGCTCCATAGCTTCAAGTGTTTTGAGCCAATGACTGGCCTTAGTCTACAACCCATGGACATCAGCAGACATTTGAAGCATTGCAGTTCTCACAATGTAAATATACCACTAACAATAATAACTTGTGTCAAGTTTGTGTGTGCATTTACCCTGAAGTGAAACAGTCCACAGTAGTTCTCATCAAATGTTTGCTCCAGAGGAACAACTTGCCCGAGGACATGATTCTGGAAGGTCAGAGCTCCAATAGATGCAAGAAACCAGCAGTTTCCTGAGTAAAAACATTTTTGTTAAGGTATCAGAAGGACATTTAAGCACAACAATAAAAAAAATAATGAATTAAGATATTTCCCTACCAAGTACTCCTTGACCAAAGTCAAACCTGGAGATCCCATCAAGTACGAAGGATGGATTAGGAGCAATTTTCTGAAAATGAAAGTCAATAAAACGTAATAATTGTATAGTATAGTATAGTAGTGTATCTTAATACAATACAGATGAAGAAGAGATCCCCGTCTAACTTTAATGTAAAATTTTGGGGACAAAAATTGCATTCCTAAATTTAACTGATTTATGAGGCTTCAAGGGCCAATGACTCAAATGTGACCTCAACTCTCAAGGTGTGAACAACTCCTCAAGAGCTTAAATACCAGAGACTCCTCACCTGTCAGTTAGAAGTTAAGAAGCTGTACTTTTCCGACCATTTGTTGTGTAAGAACTGACATTTTTACAAAAATGAAGTTCCTAAAGTTATTTTGAGTTTGAGTTTTGGATGAGAGGTAAACGTCTTCTACAACCACAAGCAAGTCCAGTTACCTTTGTATAGATACCATGACCTGGATTACTGAGAATCAGCTAGATAGTCAGAGTATATCAAATCAAGTAGGCATCTTACAAAGCTTTTTTTTGTCTTCTTCATGTGAAGGCGTTTTCTTCCTTCCAGTGTGCTTTCATTTTGTAGGCCTCACTATTGAGAGAGAAAGTTGTATATCTCTATATCTATGCTTACATCTTAATCAACTAGGTTATAGGACAAAAATGTCAGTTAAGAACAAACACATTTAGCTAAACTGCTACCAAGACACCGTTTACTATGTCACCTTAACCCTATCAGCTAAAGCTTAGAGCTTACGAATATGTATGTATAAGAGCACATGTTGTACAACCTTCCCACCCTCTCTTCCAAACATTAGGGAGAGCCGGGAGAGACACAGGGAGACAATGTAGACAGATTGAGTAGAAAGTGGTAAACACTGAATCACTGTAAAATGATATTGTAAGTTTTAATCTTAGCTACGTCAGATGATTCAACATCAACATTTGGTGTGATGCTGGATTTCCTCTGCACTTTAATGCTTTCAAAAACACTCACTGCTGGTCTCAGCCACACCACAAGGTCCAGGTCAGAAGGTCTCAGCAACCCATGGCCGATGGAGTTCCTGTCAGGGGGGAACATGTCATCAATGTACCTCACTCCTTGTATGAGACAGTACTGTTTGAGCTGCTTGTAGTCTTGGTTTAAGAATCCCTCAGGATTGGCGGAGCTCCCGTAACCGTCCTGCTTGTGACGAGCCTCCATGATGTTCAGACACACACCGGGAGCAGGCATTGCTGCGGTTTTTGCGTTCTGTTACAGAAAAGAAGATCCAGAACAATTTTGATATTATATATAATTTTGCATGCAAGTTTGAGATATACTAAGAAATAAGAAATTAAAGTTAAAACCATCAAGTGTCTAAGTCGAGTGTTGGGTTGGGTTGAGATCAGGGCCCAAATTAAGAATAAAAACCTAATTTATGGCACATTTTATTTAATGTTGTTACATTTAACAACTTACCCATACCTAGTGTAAGAATACTTGACATGATTAATCACAGGTATGCTTACAGTAGGCATAAACACATATATAATTTACTTCATTTTTTTGTGTGAAATCCTTAACATGTCAAGTTGCAATTAATGTGAAATTGACAACAAACTATATTTTTTAGTAATATAGGGATGAAATAATAGAAAAAGGTAACAAATTGAAAACTAAATTAGAGCAAAAATTGCCATTAATTCAATGGCAGCTTGTTGTGTACACTGCTTATAAAAACAAGAAGGAAAAGTAATTTAATATCCAATCAAATGTTTAAATCAAATGCCAATAATGCACAATTCTTCACCTACATTTCCAATATTATTTTGTACGATCAATAAATAATATTTCTTAGCATGTGTGTGAGCTTCTATGTTTCTGTGCAGCAGCCATCTAGGATCTTTTATCAACCAACTTAAGAGACCCCTGAAGTTCTTTTAAATCTAAGACTATTTTAATATTATATATAATTTATAAATTGTAATATTATATATTATAATTAGAAATTGCATTAAAAGCTTTAATTCATAAGTTTGTGAGTAAAAGTTTTTTCAGCTTTGTTTCACTTAAATCCAGAATTTCACTTATAACAGTTTAATAAATACAAGCTCTGGTGATTGCAAAACATCACGAGACATATTATTTTAACATTCATCATAACATCTAGTGACCAACGTAAGTGAAAACTTACATTATGAAATATTCTACAACTACTACCAATAGAAAATATTGGAGTGGTCCTATACTTTAAAAAGTATGATTATTAATAGCATTAAACAGTAACAGAAACAGTAATGGTATATTTAGGAGGTCAAAGGTATCTTTATAACATATCACTGTTTAGTATGTAGTTCAAAAGCATAACATTTATTCTAAAGACAACTTTGTGACATGGAATCTGAATCAACTGGTTTAAATTGTTGTTTTTTGTAGATCTTACCTCACTGGCTCTGGAGAGAAGATTTACGGTGCAGTAAGGAGAGAAGGTGAATCAGCAAGTAAGAGAGGAGAGGCTTTTAACACTTATATAATGCCTGTAAATGCCTCAAGCTACCTTTGCGTCCTTGTGTTTCTCGCTAAGATCTTCCAACAAACCCCACCTGTTGTCACCTGCAGTGTAATCTTACGCTTCTTTTGGCTTCTATGGGACAGACAGAGGGAATGACAAAGTGAGAGAGAGAATTTCACTTTCGATGAAAAGACCTGATAGAAGTTCATATGAGGGAAGTGAAGCAGGCTTGACCTTGTTTCTTTGTGTGTTTATTGTGGTTGTAGAGTGGTTGTCAGTGATTAATCAAGATATAAAACTGTAACATTAAGAGCACTGGCTGCTCATAGCCTCAATGCGAGTCAGGTCCATATCCTTACATGAACCTTGATACACTGTCATGGAGTATCTCTCTTGTCATTATAAAACAAAATTAACACCGAATCAAGCGAGTCAAGATGCAACCAGCAGCTGTCCTCTTTAGCTGAGCAGCGGGTGATTTCATCAGGGAAGGATGGGAGGGAAACTGATCTGGTAATTTATAAATGCTGCATTATTTATTTCTTACATCGAAGACCATCATCAATAATTATCTAATATAGCCATGACCATGTGTTTGTCATGCCTCATAAACTTAAACAGAAAGCAGGAAGCAGTATAATTATTAACTAACTTAATAATACTACTCAGAGATCCATGAGTAGAAAAAAATCTCCATTAAAAAGAATTATTCTATTTAAAAAATATATCAATTTAAAATCATCAACACATACAAGTGAAAAATGTACCACAGAACATTAATTTGTCATTGTACCGTAGCAGACTTTGTGATTACATCTCTTTATTTGTTTTGTGCACAGCATATCTAAATAGATCATGCATCTTTATTCTGCTGTTCTCCTGTCCTTTATCTCACTGTGCAAACACTTGAAAAAACACAGTTGCGAAACAGGAGTCAGTCATCCATAACAATCCTTGGCTGTTTACAGTTTTAAGAACAGAGATTAACAACACTTCTCAAGAAAAGCAGCTGTGGTGACAAACTCCATTTCTCAAAAAGAAGTTGGCCGATCAATCCATTTTTAATGAGAGCATAAAACAGATGCCTGCCAATGTCAATACATGCTATCACACTTACCTCCATTTACAGGAATTTCAAACCAATACACCAGTGATCTACAATAATATGCCAAAGTCATAATCTCTGGGTTATTTGTTCTGTAACCCCTGTTCTCTGATAACAAGAATGAAGAGTCTCCCTCGCTTTATTCTCTCACGAAGCACTTGACTGTCACTCCAGAGACTGGGGTTCACATCCGCAGTCCAGCCTGTGCTTGGATTTACGCTACAAAAGCACTTTGGAGAAGAAAGACTGTGATATTGGTTAAATGTAAACACTTTGTGCCTGAAGTCACTGTGAAAATACACTTCTTTGCTTCCTGGCAGGGTCAGATGAGAAGAATGATACCAATTGCATGTTTGTACAGTTATGAATCTATAGCCAGGCGCCTGTTAGCTTAGTTTAACACAATGGTGATTGATAAGTGAAAGGGTGTTAAACAATGAATCAGAGAGAAACAGCTAGCCAGGCTCTATCCTAACAAAATCTACCCACCAGCATCTTTCAAGTCCACTAATTAAATTCAGTTGTCTGGATACAATCTGAAGCAGCCAGTGGAGAAAGTGCAGAGTGTAGTGTATTTTATCAGGTAATTACAGATTATACTAAGAAATTGAATAAATTGTAAAAAAGAAAATGAATAAATTACTGTAAAAATGCTGTAACATGTCTGACACAAGGTGAAATGACCACTCATTTAAACAGTTGGTTTACACAACAGATATTCTTATTTGACCGTAGTGGAGATTATACTTGCCGAGGTTATGAGATTACACTGTGAGATTTGTTCCATCCTAATACACATGAGAGGAATGTTAAACAAAAGCCTAATTGTGAAAAGATTGCGTAGGAACGGCTTACTACCAGGAGCTAGTCTCCAAATGTATCAACATGTCTGTGCAATGTAAATCTTGGCTGCCCCACATCATAGCATTGCAGACTCCACTTCTTAAGGATCAGAGGATGAATAAAACCTGAAATTTCATGCCACACAGGATGACTTCTCTACACTTCAAATTGTAAAGACAAGTCACGGATGGGCTGTTATGGTGAAATAGTGAAGGAAAAATCTTCCTGAGTTTTCATTCTGATTCATGTTGCTGTTTTGGAAGACTTGAAGTACAGGCGACCTCATTAAGAAATAGGCAATACCTTGTGACCAGTATGACTTTTACACAAACAGTTCTTATGATAATTTCCCTATCTGCCTGATAATGCACTTGATTAAGGTTTGGTAAACCAATCAATAGCAATAGTAATAGTAATAGTTACCCCTTTTCTCTCGCCACTAGAGGTCACATTACAAATATATAGAACCACTTTGAAACATTATGTATATTTTGCTGTTAACACTTATTTTCTTTTACTTAAAATGTTGATTGCAGGACTTTTACTTGTATCGTAGTATGTTTTTACATTGTTGTTGTCTTGTAGTCTGAGGTGTAGCTAGTTTTAACAACTTTTCACACAGATAGGTCATTTAGTCCAGTTTTTCTGAACATAGCGGCCCCCTGCAATGGATCACAAGGTACATGTAAATCTGGGAAGGTCATCAGAAGATTTCTGAAGAAGAAAAATCAAAAACAAAGGTCTTCTTCATGTTTAGTAATCTCTAATGAGGAGTCACAAGCTCTATTATTAAGTGAGGTTTTCTGAGATTTCTGAGATTAAGTGAGGTTTTCTGAGAGGGTTTTGACAAACACCAGAAACCAGTTTCTGGCAGCCTTGAGGACTAAAGTCTCTTTGACTGATTGATTTTGTGGTGAATCTGTGTGTGTGTGTGTGTGTGTGTGTGTGTGTGTGTGTGTGTGTGTGTTTGTGTGTGTCTGTGTGTGTGTCTGTGTGTGTGTGTCTGTGTGTGTGTAATTTATCCACAATAGGTTGACAAATCAAAGTTGCAAGCACACAGACAACTGTGTTAATATGAGTTAATACTCTTTTTTCAAATTCTGAACACAATAATGACAGGAGACTCATCCCTTTCTTCTTTGTGGCTTTAATCCCTTATATAACTGAAATTATCTTACCCCAGTTTATCTTTCATCCTGTTTTACCTCTGAAATATTCTCTGCAGTCACTGGTGATTGATAAGTGAAAGGGTGTTAAACACACTGTAGGGTTGACATTTAAAGGCTAAACCTGCTGGTTCATGTACAGGTTTATGAAAAATGCTGAGTGAACTGCTGCTGAGAGAACTGAGTACACACATGCTCAGCGTGAGACACCGCTTTATGCAAATCATGGAGGGCTGTCTATGTGCTTTTCTTAGATGAAAAACATTGTGAAGGAAGTCCCTAAACACAATATGCTTATCACAACAAACACAACAAATGGCTTGTACAATGACTGTACCATGTGTGCCAACATGATGGTCAATGATGGTTGAAAGAACTATTGAATTATGAACATTTTTTTTATAATTTCCACAAAACAAATCTACTTCTCTTGGCCACAACATCTGCACATTAACCATAAGATATGTAACCCCAGCAGTTTTTTTCTCATCTTTTTAATCAGCTGTAACAAGCAGACATAAGGCATGTCTGCCAAAGATAGAGCTTGGTCAAAGGTCACTATGTTATAAACTAACTGTTGACAACCACATACATACATTATTACATAACATTATATCAGGCCCTATATATGGGCATACAATCTCAATGATATTGAAATATTTCCATAAACCTGCTTAAAATAAATGATTAAAGTATCAGAATCTTACATATTTGTATCTCCTGTCCTATAAAGACAGGGTTATTCCACAGAAAGAACAAAGTACAAAAAAATTACTTTATATGGTTTATACGTCTTTCCTTACATAGTAGACAGTTGCTCCAAGTGATACTTATGTTTTTCTAGTGAAGTCATGATTATTTGCATAGCCTTTACAGCCTCTATGGTATTTAGCGCTCTAAGAAGACAAGAAGACAAAACTCTATTGCTATGCAAGGAGCTTTGCTAGGCTGCACCTAGGCACAGTATAGCTTTGATCTAAATGCTGAGCATGCTATTATTCTCACAATGACAATAATATACCGATGGGAATATCATTTGTTTTGCAGGCTATAAACCAAAGTACTGAACAAATGGAAATTTTGACTGGATGATGGTGCCAGATGAAAAGTCAGGGTATCACCAAAGTAACTACAGTTCAGGGAGGACATGAATGTCTGTACCAAATTTCAGGGCAATCAGTCCATGTCGAAACAGTTTACTCGTGATTTTGGATAAGATGAAAAGGGTGTTAAACACAGACATCAACACACCTTTGGGTTTAACAGCCCAACTACGAAAGAAAATCCTCTATAAACACAATGAGACGTATCCCTGCACAACATAAATTACGTAGATAACAAGTCCTTCATATGTCGCATACTTTGTGTATGAGGGGTGTTGTTCATTTTCATATATATAATTTTTATTTTAAAAAGGGTATAAATAACTCCTGTCTAATAGGGATAGACGCTCATACTGGAGATGGAGCGACGGGTTCTTGAGAGAGTGCTCACAAAATTGTGATGAGGCATCTGACGTGGACCACATTTGTCAGTGCTGCTGAGAAGAACTGGGGTCATCAAACACATGCCTTCAGCGTGAGGACAACATCGATCCCTCTAAGCTGCAGATTCTGGCCTCCGGTGAGTATCATCGAGTACCGATTAAAACAGAACACCGCCGCTTTTAGATGAATGGCAAATCGTCATAGGAGGGCTGTCTATTGCTGCCCGCTTTTCTCTTAGATGAAAAAATTGTGTAAGGAAGTCCCTAAACAGCAAAGTAACTGCTCTATTCACAACAAACACAAACAAATGGCTTGTACATCATGACTAGTTAAGACCCAATATGTGTGCCAAATTGATGGTTCCAATATGG